TGTAAAAAAAATGGGGCCCTTCAAGATCACCTACTAGTTCACAAAGGGCAGCCAGTGTGACCTGAGCTGGAATTAGCAGGTGACTTTTCCCCCATGGGCCCTTGAGGGCAGCTGAGCAAAGGGCCACTTCTGAGGGTTGGTACAGCCCCAACGGAGGCCAAAACCTGGGAAGGAAGACAGGCAGTCCTTAAATATTCAGGCCACCTTATGAACTGTTCTGTCACCCCCCAGATCTCCTTGGAGGGTGCCACGGTGGGGGCCAGGGTCTTCTGGAACTAGAAGACCTTAATTGGCCCCTGCCTAGGAGGTCTTGGGTCCTGAGCTCAATTTCCCCTCCACAGCAGCTGCCACCCTCAGAAGCAGCCGGCAAGCTTGCCCTGGAAAGTTCCTCACCTCAGGGCATCCCTTGAGCATCTGAGGTGACACAAGCATAACTTTACATGGTCAGGGAAAAGGCTCGATGTCTTCCTTGCAAGAACAGATGTCATTTCCCCCGGGCTCTGGTTAAAGTGGAATTCCTCTTCTTCCCCTAGTCTTTCTTCATTTGAGATGAGGCAGGAGAAAAAAAAAGAAGGATGGTATGGCTGGGGCAGGGAGACTCTGTCCTGTGAAGGGGGGAGAGACGGGGAGGGGGTGCCTGCGCCCTGGGAGTGGGGGATGGGAAGGTGGCCCACGCCAGTCTTCCTGGTTGGGATGTGTGGGTTACAGGCTCAGTGTGACTCAAGCTGTAAGGCCCTGGAACCAGAAGAAATTAAGAGAGAACTGGAGTATTTTCAAAGCTGGAATGCAAGAATATTCCATGATGCTAGCACATCCCCCTGTGCCCACCTGTTCTGCCTGACCAGAGTGTTGTTGTAAAGCTAGGAGCCAAAGCCTCCTTGAATGCTGCACCTCTCCGAAGGCAGGGATTTCTCAGGGGGCCATTTCACCACTTTCCTAACAACTCAGAACAAAAGAACCAGAACAGGCTACAGAATAACCTTGTCTAAACTTGCAGGTGGTTACTTTGGTCCAGCGCTGGGCCAAGAACTTCACAGCTATCACCTCATTTAATTCTCTTTATGAATGAGTAGGTTTAGTCCCATTTTAGGGATGGGCAGGTAGGGCTCAGGCAGATTTAGGAGCTTGATGCAGGCTTTACAATCTGGTTAATGATTAAGCTAACAGGACTATTTCCTGGGGTTTGCATGTTTAATCATTAATCTACTGGTTACTTCCCTGGCCCTTTTCTCAGCTCGACCAACTCCTACACTTTCTTCATGACGACTAAGTACCGACCTTCAGAAAGCTCTCCTGATGCCCCCAGGCAAGATGTAGAGCTGCCGTGTGGTCTCAGCGGCTCCTTGTGTCTGTTGCTTTCAAGCACTTTGCGCTGTGTGTTTGAGCTTCCCTACACATAACCGTACTCCCCTTGCATCTCTTCCTCTTCTCCCTGCTGTCTTAGCACCAAGCATAGTCTCTAGCCCATAGTGGATACTTAAATCCTTTTTTAAATAAAATTTTGAATGATTAAATGGAATTTTGGCAAAGAAAGAAAAAAAGCTAACTGACAGTTTGGGGACCAATCACTGTGCTAAGAAAGTTCCCAGTCTCCCCACCTGTCCTTCTTGGAACCTCGGCTCCAGGCCTCACCCAAACATCTCTTCTTATGACGACAGCTATGGTCCAACCACCCCAGCGCATGCTTGCCAGTGCCCATGGAAAACTGAGCTGGAGGAGCGTTATTTTAGGAATCTCTGTCTGAATAGAGTCAGATAATATCCTTGAAGTAGCCAGAGAAAATCCCAGAAGGCCAGGCGCCTGGTCAGACCTGGTCAGACCACCCGAGGAAGAGGGCTTACCTGGGGGCATCACTCGCACTGCTTGACTCTGTTCTGTGCCTGGGCCATCCTGGAACCAACTATGGCATTACTTTAAGGGCTCCCTCCCCCAACGCCTGCCTCTCCTCCCACAGACAGCCCATCTTTTAACACACTCCTACTAGCCCCTTCCAGACGCAGGAAGTCCTCCACACTCAGGCGGGGCTCTGCTCCTG